GATCTTGTTTAAGCGTGGTGTTGTTTTTGAAGTTCAACTTTTAAGTTGCAAAAGGATTCTGAACTAAACTACTGCCTCAAGGCTTCCAGATTTTTGTTTTAGGGACTTCAAAATTTCTACTGGAGAATCTGTAATATAATTCTTGAACATCAGGTAAGAGAACAAATTACTTCATTGCTCCATGGAAAAAACAATTGAAACCTCAGCTCTTAGGCAAAATTTTCCAAGAGTATTTATCAAGTCAGTTTGTACCAACAAGAATTAAATCCAGCCAACAGTCTGAAAGCCAGTGAATAAAGTCAGAATCTCTCTGCTACACCTACCATAGGATATATGCTATTAACAAATAAATAAGGTTACTACTGCTAGGAGACAGGACTTTTGGATACAGAAAGATGCACATTCTAGCTCTACTACTGCAGCATTTCAAGTGTACCCACAGCAACCGCTGTGCAGCACCTAAAAGCCCACAGCTCCCCTACACCTTGGTCCGTGCTGCGCTATTTCACTTCCAGCAAGTTTTGTTCTTTGATTTGGCTGCACACTTGACCTGGCTAAACCTTACTCCAGCTGAGAAAGCTGCATGTTGTGGCAGCACCGGGTTGGTAGGCATTGTGAAATAAAGTGGGAGGCCTTATGTGCTCATTTGTGTGTCAGTACCCAGAATGCTGCTTCTAGCTTCCAGCTACTTCATAGAAGTGCTGCTGGGACTCGAACCGTGGGAACACTGCAGTGCTAGTGTGTGTGGGTGTGTTCACACGTGTGCAAGGAGAGCTCTCTTATTCTCTTAGGGTCTGATCACACACTGTTTTGCTGAACGTACAGATGTCTGGCACACAGGTAGGAAATATGAAAGCACTGTCAAAACGTTGCTAGGTTCAATATTTAAAAATAAAATTTTAAAAAAGCGTTCAGAAGGGACAGAGTTGAACCCACCCTCCTTTACTGGAAATAGCAACCAACAAAGCCTTCAGGCCTGCTTTTTGAACTAATTCAATCACAGCGGAGGCATACTGCTGTTCAGAAAGCAGGGAGCTGTCTGTCACAGAGAACTGGAAAGAGAGTATGAGAGACACACCAAGGCCATATCTATACCCGCAAGTGAACACTCAACATGCACCAGCTGCTGAGCTCAAGAAAAAGGCTTTGGCACTGATGACAGATTTCTAGGACCCTGTTTTGCAACCTTGTCAGGTTATTCACATTTTAGATTTCTAGAAATACCCCAGAATGTAATGGCTGTGCCCCATGTCACTAATGGTTGATGAAATGAGAGACAGGTAGGGAAACAGGACACCCACTCAAGTAAAAGCTGTGTTGGTGCATGGAGACTCTGAAAGACCAGAGAGAAAACAAAGCAGAAAAAAAACTCTGCATGAGGCATGCGAGAAGGTGGAAAACCCAGGGAAGGATGCAAAGTCCTTCCTGGAGAAGTTATCATATGGCTCAAGAAAAGAAAGTGCTCTGGGAAAGTGGCAGGTAAGTGAAAGAGGTCATTCACTCATCCAGGGATCAACAGAGAGGATACAAAATTCAAAATTTTAGAAGAGGGTAAGGAAAGTGGCTGAGGCCTCTATGCTTCCTGCTCTAGCAGGGGCTGCAGCTGTCACAATATCCTCCGGTTTCTGGTTAAGACCCTTTGCTGATTTCATACAGATCCAGACGAAAGCTGCTTCTGCAAGTGGCAAACCAGGCAACATGCATCTTGTTCAACGAACCAGGGTAACTGAGAGACAGTATTTCTGCATCTGTGTATCTATCTCTCGATACTGATGAATAGATGTGCACAATAGATATTTGATGAACATAGAAATACATGTTGGAAATGAAGTATCTCGGTAAAGCTATGCCTTGTAGCAATGCTTTAAAACCACACCAAGGAAAAAAGGGGAGGGGAAAAAAAAAAGAAAAAAAAGAGACAGGAAAAAAAAGGCAGTTTTGCCAGTACGCTGAATCTGCAACAGGGGCTTGTGCCAACCCAGCTCCTCCATTTAAGTCAAACCCTTAAAAGGCAGAGTTGTGCTGGCAGAAATCTACGTACCTCACCACATGAACCTCATGAAGACACACAAAAAGGTCAAAACTCACTGCTTCAACAGCCATAAGAATGGTCACATGTATCCCATGCTACCATCATACTAACAGAGCCCCAGGGAAAACAACGCACAAATCGATGTGTACACACACACGCACATAAATAAATGGAGAAACTGATAAAAAACCCGTTCTTGAAAGTAGAAGACCAAGTATCTGACACAGCAGATTACAGCACACACCACACACAAACACCTCTATATAAAATAGAACAAAGCAATGCAGAGATCTACATCAAAAAGGAAGACCACCACAAAGACACATATGCTTCACCCTTTCATCCAGAGACAGACAGACACAGAGCCCAACAGACACACAAAACCCACACAGACTGACAGTAATTAACACAAACACGCAGACATGGGACCATTCTTTCATTTCCTTACTAGGCATCTAAACTTTACTCCAATGTTACTTGCCCCTGGCCACAGCTTACCAATCTTAGAGCCTGATTAAATCTCTCCGTAATTATCTGCACACACTGCTACAACACAAATGACCTTAGCATATGATATCCGTTGGCTAAGCCCAATGGAAAAAGACTTCAGAAAAAGGAAGGATAAGCGTACAAAACTCTGCCAGCACTATCAGGGGCCTCCTCAAGACTCCACCAGATTAATAGGAGAGCCCTGAAGACAGCTCAAAAGCCTTGAAACTTAAGCCCAGTTTTGCATAGGATGTATGATACAGCGTTCTTTTTTCTCTACCCCATCATCCAAGCACACACCACTCTCTTCCTCCCCATCAAACTCCTCGCCACCTCCCAAATGAACCTGTGTAGGAGACTTAACATTTTATGTGACGGGTTTTTGGCCGAATTTTCTGATAAATAGATGGCCACAATTTCCTTACATAATTCTGGGCGTCCATTATTAGGGATCATGAATTCACTCTGCAAGAAGTGCTACGCTGCCTGCAGATTTTGGAGGCTGGGGGAAGCGTGCCTGCCATGTTCCGAACTAGGACCTGTTAAACGGCCACCAAAAGAATCAGGCAAAGTCAAGACTTAGTAATCTTATCCTGTTCTCCCCCTGCAACCTCACCTGGGGTGTTGGATAAATCGTACAAGTGAAGAGAATGCCGTAAAAGCCTTGTAAGAAAAGGAAAGTACACCTCTCCTCACATTCATTTTAATAAAACTCTGGAAATGACCAAGCTAGGGACGCAGTACCTTTTAGGAGCAAGAACGTGGAGACTTCTTAATTTTGCTTCCCAAACGAAGCACCCCCTAGAAAATTCACTTCCCAAGGCGAAAAATGCCTCCACTTTCAGAGCCGTACTCTCCTCTCGGAGACATGCATATACATCTTCCCCACCATTCCATCTTAGCACATGACTGACGGAGAATAGACAAGCCATTAAAAACACATCCACCTCCAACCACGGAGATAATGTGGCTCATTACAGCCGAGCTTTGTCACAGCGGTTCTGACACTCCTGCGGGAGGAAAAGGAGGGGCGAGGACAAGGATTGAAACGGGGGCTAAGGACCAGACCAGGAGAGAAACTGGAACTTGGAACGAGTGAGAGTCTACTCCTTAATCAAAAAACGCAGTCGAACGGGATAACTAGGCCTCTTAGGCTGGCTGTAGGAACGGCTGCACTGTTTGCGCAGGGTATTTTAAAAATCCTGGGTTTTGGTCAGGTATTTTTATTGCTTTTTTTATAAATAAATGCTCTTATTGAAGTCTGAGTGTGCGTCTGCCCCTTTAAACAGGTGTTTGGTGAGTTAATGAAGAATTTTACTGAACATTCTCAGTGGGCTTTAAACGTTGCTTCTCTTTATGAGGCTTGTGTCATTGCCCGTCCACTCCAGACACGCCAAACCACAGAAAACTTCGGAAATCTCTAGCAGATGAGGCAGAATCCAACCAACAAACCTGCAGTATAGAAGTAAGCAAGAGTTTGCTTTAACCTTATACTGGGGGCAGGGCGGGGGGGGAGCAGGAAGCAAACTGCGCATCCCACAGCCCGTTGTCCCCTCGCCAGCCAGCTAGCCAGACATCCCGGTGTCTGCAGGCGAGTCCTCAAGGCCTGGTGGCACCGCTGCCCATTGATCAGGACCGGTGCCAGATGCCAAGGCTGCCTCCCACGCACACACCGGGGATTCTGGGATCTAAAGGCAGCTCAGACTGAAAGAAAAACAAAAGACACCTAAAAAAAAAAAAAAATGTGCTTTAGCTGTCTGGCTCAGCACGGCATGGCATACCTTAAGGGGCTGCTGCAGCTGGCCCTAGACAGATTCATTTACCGAATGTATACAGAATCCAGCATACAAAAGCCCGTCTGGTGGGGAGATTCAGACTCCACAGGGATACTCGAAAAGCAGAGACTTCTCCATTCCCGTTCCGCACACTTAATCTCAACACCAGTAACCTGCATTAATGTCAGGATTTTTTCTTAGCAGCCACATTTTATTTCAGCACAAGCATTTAAACAATTTAGCCCCCACCTCCATCTCTGGAGGCACGCGGTTGAACAGAAAATTGTATATATTTGCGCCTAGAGAGATCAGTAACTTATTTTTTTCTGCCTTCTTCCTTGTCTTGACCCCTAACTGAAGCTCTGTAAAACGCGAAATCACATACTTCCTGCTGAAGTCTGGAGTAGCGTGATGGCTTTCAAAGATCAGGTTCCATGTATACTAAGAGATGCAAGCACACATATATAATTTAAACAAACTCCAACTACCGTGTTCAGAACGCAACCAGAGAAAAAAAGGTGCCATCTCAAACACTGCTCGTCTACATTAACACACACGTGGTGAGAATTAAGAACACGATTAGATTGCTAAATGAGTCAAAGGGAAAGCAGCTGGTAACAAATTGGGTGTATCAACGAAGGTTACCGAAATTATAGAAAATTCTTTTCTTCCCCACCCCCTTTAAAATTAAAGGCATCACTTACCCTGGGGGCTTTCCTCTTGTATTTGTTGTTATAGTCAAATTTTTCTTTCATTTCATCTAAGAGCTGGCCCAGTCTAGCTTTCTCCTCTTTCCCAGTGTAATCCTGGCTGAGGAGGATATAGGATCTCCAGTTTGCAGAGTCAAAGCCCCAGTGGCAAGTCCTGTTTTCCAGCGATTTGTGAGAGTGGACCACAAATTTGTGAGGTGGGTACATCAGCCTGCAGTCCAAGCACTGGATGCAGGCAGCGCTAGGGTTACTGTAAAGCTCTGGCACCAGGAGTCCCTTACACTTCCCAAAGCACTCATGATACACCTTGAAGCTCTTCTCTGTGAGCTCCAGCTCAATCGTGCTAGAGAATTCCTTCTTGCAGTGGGGAGGATAGGTGCCACCATAAAGCAAGGCGTTACAAAGCCTCTCAGCATCAGTTTTAGTGATGAGCCCGCAGGAAGGAGCGGAGAAGGGCAGGATGCCCATGACTTTGAGGATTTCCAGCTGGTCAGCAGTGCATCTGGAGCAGTAAATATGTAGCTCATCACACACCGAATTAATCTGCTGCAGGGAGAAGTCCCTGAGCACCGAGTTCAGGATCTGGGGCAAGCAAAGCCGCTTTTCTCCACCCACCACGAAGCAGGAGATGGTTTCCCCTTCCAGGATGGTCTCGCACCTCTCTGTGGATCTGTCCGAGGGCATGAAGAAGGGACCAGGCATTACCGGAGGAGGCTGGATAGGGGGCAGATGCAGTACAGGTTCTGCTGGGTCTTTGCCATTGTCTTTCTTGTACATCTCCTGTGCCCATCGTGCTGAGAAAGCAGCAGGGCCACCCAGGGAGCTCATAGAGCTCAGATGAAACTGTTCCAAGGTCTTCTGCAGTCCTGGATGAGGCTGGAAGCTGCTTCTACTTACAGTCTCCATTTTTTAGTTTCTATTCCCAAAACAAACAACAAAAATCCCCAGTTATCTTCCACCCTGGTACAAATCCACTTAAGGGATTTTTTTTTTTTTTTTAAGAAAAAAAATACGAACAAAATAAAACAACCCACCCTTATTTTTTTTCTCCTTCCCACTCAGGTTTAACAATCCACTAACGGAATAGGAAATAAATCCTTTTGTATGCGTGTCTCTCTCTCTTCTTTCTTTTCTCTTGGTTCGTTACAATTTCAAAACCTCCAAGTCTCCAAGCTGCCCCGATGGAGCAGAGAGTCACGGCAAAAAGAGGTCTTCATCCGAGCACTCACCCCCTCAGCCAACCCCCCAGGCAAACCAATCCCTCCTCCCACACCTCCACCACACACACACACTCACTCACTCACACACACACACACGCCACCCACAGAAATACAAAAAGTCTGTGCCACGCTCCCAGCACCACGGGCTCAAATATGTTCTGGCGGCTGCTGCTTCTCTGCAGTAATCACCCTTCTGTCCATATCCACCGAAAGGAAGGCGCGGGGGAGGAAAGTAAAAAGCAGGAGGAGGAAGAAAGCTTGGGCTGTGGAAGGGAACAACGCAGAAGAAAAGGAAAAGGCCCAAATCTCTGGCACTTCCAAGACGGCGCGGGGGCTTCGGACGGGCAACGAGCAGGCTCCCTTCCCCCTCGTGGTCCCTCAGCTTGATCTGGGAGGACTCCTCGTCTCTCGCTTCGCCTTCCTTCCCTTATTCCTCTCGGTCTTCTCGGCGTGCCGTGGGGAGCCGCGGTAAGAGAGCGCACATCCTCCCAGCTCCTCTTTCCAGCGGAGACTGAGAGTGCCTGAGAGCTGAGCTAATGCAGGCTGGCTCAGCCTCCCTCACTCCTCCTCCTCCTCCTCCTCCTCCTCCTCCCCCCCTCTGTTTGTTGGTGTCTGCCTCAGTCATTGCATCCCAGCCAAGAATGTGACCAACTCCCCAGGCCGGGCTCTTCCAGGAACAGCGCCCGCCTCCCCCCGCCGCGCCGCGCTCGGCTT